CGTTTAATGCTTCAATAATTTAATCACTATTCTATAATTGTATTTTAAGGAATGAATTCACCGAATTAGAAGATTATCTTACAAAAGAATACGAAGATTTAAAGTCTTTATGGTTAGAATTTAATGAACAATATGCAAAGGCAAAGTCTGAAGAAGAAGTACTCGTTCAAATGTTAAGCGATGTAAAAGGAACAACTGTCGAGGAGTCACAAAATTCTTTAGATTATGCGGAAAATCTTGTACAGGTATGTTAATTGATTTTTTGAAGAATGGATTTTTCTTAAACAATTCTAACTATTTATGACATCGTCCATTGACACAGTCCATGTATGAGGATAAGGGGTCATCATCACCTTTGAAAAGTTCTCCCATTTCTTTATCGTGTGACCCGGTTAACCAGGAATCATCAGAAAGAGTAGGAAATGATGTAACAGATTCCTTTGACTCGTTAACCCTGTCATCGCCGAATATATCTGAAATGCGAGAATCCATTTATACAGCGTTAGAATTATCAAATAGAGATGTGCTACAAGATTCTGTCACAACGGAAAGTTCTTTGGGATTTAACACCAATTTAGATAATGCTCTACGCAAATTACAAAGATTAGATGAGGAGGACTATGATATTGATCAAGATGAAGAAATGACGGATATAATTTCGTTAGATAGAGAGAGCGAAAAAACACGAATTTTGACTACTTATGAAAGTGATAATGATCATGAAATAGGTGAGTATTTATGTATTTTTATTATGTTATATCGTTTGTAATTTGTGTTAATTTGTTAATGTATATATCTAATTATGATATTTGTTTCAAAAAAATAGATGAGGATGATGAGATTGAATATGATGGGTGGAACGAAGATAAAACTAGATTAGCTCTTAGAGATATGTTAGATATGATGCGGGATCAAAATAATCATTAGATTTTTTTTTTTGATTTTGTAATTTTTCTTTCTCTTGGACAAATCTATTTTAATAAAATTTGAGTTTTTTGATAATCAAAACTAATATAGTTATATAATATGTTTCTAGCTAATAATGAAAATATGTCAATATTACTTATTAATGTCCATTTGTTGTTTTAGATTTGCTTAATTGATATTGTTTATAACAGTCTGTTTGTTCTGGAAATGATTCCTGAAGCTGGTCAAGAAGTAACTCTGAAAAATTCTGACAGTTCATAAGAAGTTGGAACGAATTAATATCAATTGAATCGAGAAATTCATTAAAAGAATTGAAATGCTTTTTATAAATCAATATACTTATTACTTGTATTGCTTCGTTTTTTATATTCACTGATTCATTTTCCTTAATCACTTCTTCTACATAATCTACCATAAACTTATCAGGATTACGTCCCTCGTCGATATATCTATTTTTACATAATAAAACGCAAATGATAAAATATGAGATTAATAAAGACCTCAAAAAAAAAAAAAAAAAATTATTCAATAAATTTTATTACTCTATCACTTCTAATGGCACCTCGATATGTTTGATTTTCTCTTGAAGCTTGTGTATTTCGTCAAAACGATCAGCCAAGTCAGATCTGTCGTGAAAAGAAAAATTTTGAAAGATTACATTTTCTTGAATACAAAAAATAAAAAAAATTAGAGAAAATCGACATACAAAGTGTGAGATAGTGCCCATTTATTTTCTGGATTGTAATCATTTAATTGCACCATTATCTCCCATATTTTGGTAAGGAGATTGTCTATAGTTAGTTCGAGCTGTGTTCGTGGATCGCGTGATTCGCTATGTCCGTTTTGTTGTGGCGGTTGTTCAGGTTCAGATGCAGTGGTCATCATCATGGGTCCCATCAATTAAACCTAGAAAAGAAACGTGTGGATTTTAAATTATGCCAATGTAAAAATTGTAGAGGTTGGGGGCCGAATAACTTGGAGTATAATTTAATTTAATTTTTTTTTTTTTTTTTGACAACCCAAGTTAGGACTTCCGCTGTTTATATAATTTTCAAATGTATTATGTAACAAGACAGATTTGTAACAGATCAACCTTATATGTTTCACGACATCACCTTTTAATCTATGGGATAACTTGAAAGTCGATTTTTGAGAAATGAATTAAAAATCGCGATTTAATCGTTTTTTCTCGAAAAAAGTTTCAGATTTCTAACCTTAGATTTTCGGTTTCGACTAATCGATTTTATTTTTGACGTTACTCAGCTACATAAATATAAATCGATAGAAAATAAATAAATAAAAAATATTGATATGTTAAGATAAATGATGAATGACACAATAATATTTAAATAAGAGTCATTGTTATCCAG